CCCTCTTAAGCTGTGCCTTGAAAAGTTGCAGATCCGGCTTCGGTATGCTGGAAACCTGCTTTCAGTCTGGCTGTGCGAACCAAGGTGATTCGATCGCTGGTGTATCCCGCCCTTTTCTGGGCGGCTGGCGTGGCCCAGCCCACCGCCGAGGCACTAAACGACATCCGCATGAAGATTGTTGCCTCTTTGTCCGGGGCACTTACCCAAGAGGCCCCCAGAATTCTGATTGGACAGGTGCTAGGCTGGACACTTGACGTGCACTGGATGGCCGACCGGAGTGCCCTGGCATGCTTGCTCAGGACCCTCACGAGTGGTTGGAAGACATCGCCATTGCCAAGCTCAACGAGCCACGAACCTCGGATTTCCCTGCTGCGGCTCATCGGTGTGGACTCCCCATCGGTCCTCAAACAGTGGTTCATCGAGGAGTACAAGCTGACTACGACAACGAGTTGTGGCAGAGTGCTCCACAAGCTGCACCGCAACACCCCCGGGTTGGCCGTGGGTTTGGACCTTCCGAAACCGGGCTCTCGGGTCAGGTTTGCTTTTGAGGGCCACCGCAAGGCGTACATGCAGGCCCGCGATGCGGCACAGCAACGCGCAGCATTGGCCACTGGAGGTACTGGGTGGCATTACCGAGCAAAGCTCCGTGGTGAAGGAGTTGCGACTTGCATGTGTGGACAGGCTTGGCCATCCAAGGCTCACTTGGTCTGGACTTGTCCCAGTTTGGCACATGATCGTGGACACCTCGCCCAGCCGATGAACCGAGCTGAAGAACGTCTTTTTGGCCGCTCGATTGCCGAGTATCCTCCGGCTCCCAGTGCCCACACGGCTTGTCCGCAGCCGGCCCTGGCGGCTTTCTTTGCGGCACCGGCTCAGGACGCGATCCTGGACATCGATATGGCAACCGATGGCTTGTCCCAGAGCGGCGTCGGCGCATACGCCATCGTGTGTGAGATTCCGGAAGTCACCATTTCTGCAGCGGACGATGCTGAGGACCAGGCTGCTTTGCGAATGGAGCTCCTGGCGGTGTGCGAGGCGCTCGTGGCTCTGGCCACGACGGACACTCCTTCGAGGACCCTCCGCCTTCTTGTTGACTGTGATGCTGTGGGTAAGGCGATGCGACGCCCGGCGACCTGCAAACTTCGAACCTTAACCGAAAGGGCGCGGCGGCAGGCCGGACATGTGGCCCGCGGCCGCGGCACGTCTTGGCGGATCATCTGGGTCCCGAGCCACGGCAAGCAGAGGGAGTGGGCCCCTGAAGCTCCACTGACGTCTGATTTCTGTCGCCGACTGAACCAGTCTGCAGATGATGCGGCCAAGCAGCTCCGGCGCCGGCGGCTTGCGGGCTCCGAAAAGGCGACATGGGCTGATGCTTTGCAGCCGCTTCGGCGGCCGGCGCCTCGAAGCGCACTTGTGTACAGCTTGCTCCGAGTCTCGGCCTCGGCTGATCGACGACGATGTATAGGCAGTCGACCGCAGCCCTTGGCGTCATGTGATGACCGGCGTGGGACCGGTTCGCTGGTCCTCGTCTGACAGTACCCTCAAATCAAAAAAAGTTGCGGCCTTTTCTCAGGGACTTGCGGCCACAGCATGTCTTGATCATCGGGTCTGCAGTGAGCCTCCTCGGCATTTTCCTCTGCGGTTTTGTTGTTGGTGGGCTGAAGCCTGAATCGATCTGCCCTGCTCCTTTCGCGAGCACATGCAGATGGATCGATGCCTACTACGCCTTGACAGTCAGGGAGACTCGCATCACCGAGACAGTAGACATGCTTTTGGGTTCACAGATCCTTCCCCGAACACAGTATGCTGCCTTTGCATTTGTTGGCGTCGTGGGAGCATTTGTTGGGAACTGCAGAGTTGGTTCCCTTATGCAGTCTTACTTTTCCAGCAGTTCCCTCCTAGTGCCCTCCCTACCTTGCCGGTGTTTGCTGGGAAGTAGTTTGCTTGCTTGCAGGTTGCTTGAGTAGGCATCCGCTGCAGGTTGTGATGCAAACTTCTTCTGCGGATTCGGCAGCTAGAGATACACTGACTTTCCAACTTCCTTCAGGTCCTAAGCTGTCTGAGGCTGCTGTCATCCCCGTCTTAACTCAGGTATCGCCTTTGCAAGCGTTTTGACTGCCAGCATTCTCAGCAGCCATGTTCCCCAAGGCTTAGGCCAGGCGCTCAAGCGCCACATGATGGCGCGCACACGTACGTGGGCTCTGGGAAATCGTGGCGTTTGCATCTTTTGCATCTTGTACTTCTTCAGGTCTGTTCCTTCAGGGACTTCTTGCAGTACTCCCATCTTTGTCAGCCGTTTGATTTCGCTCATCCGCGAAACTTCGTCAACTTTCTCTAGCTCTTCTTCTTCAAGCTTCGGTGGCCCATCTTCAAAATCACGTCACCACGTTGGTGCTTCTTCTGGCACTTTTTTCTCCATCTGACGCATAGTCAACTTCTTCTGCGTCGCTGCCGACGTTCGTCTCCATCTCGTCAAACTCAGACTCATCTAGCTCAACATCTTCGTCGATATGATACTTTGGTTCCTCCCTTCTGAGGAATTTCTCGAGATCTTTTACACTTCTCACTTTAACTCTTGTTGCTTGAGACTTATCAGGTCTTTCTTCAACTTCACCTGTTCCGACATCAGTCCTTGGCCTTACGGCTTCTGACTCTTCAGCTTGTCCTTCAAGCTGTCTCTTCGAAGGGCTCGGAGGCTTTTCTCCAGCAATCAACTCTTCTGACGTAGAACTTAAGTCGCTTCTCTTCCGGACATTTCCTCTTCCACGGCTTGAGGTTGATCCCATCTGGCCTTCGCCGGGATCTTCCTCATCACCGCTTCCGGCATTCTCTGTGCTTGTAGTTCAATTCCGCTCGAAGGCGGCAGTCTCTTTGTCGGCTGCTTTGCTTTGCCGATCAGCCGTTCTTGGTTGTGGTCTCACGGAGTACCACAAGCTTCGGCCAGAGGCTCCACATCGAATGCTGGCGTACATTGTCTCATCGTTCTTGACTTGATAATTCCTTTTCTTGTTCATATGGCTCACCATATCCTTTCCGACGAAGATTCTCTTCCAAGATTCACCTTTCTCTTTCACTTTTGGCAGTTACTTTGCCAACACCATAGTCTTCACAACTGTCCTTCCAGGAAGAGCTCACACTATATATTTCAACTGGTTTGTGTTGAGGGTTTGGATATTTTAGTTGGCCTTCCGGGCTCAGGATATCTGACTTGAGCTCTTGGCCTTGAATCTTGAGGGTTTGGTGTTTGGGTTTTCGCATTCGGCTTTTACCCGCAAAAAATACTTGAATATTTCATCCCAACAAAGACACCCCAAAAGTCCAAAATTAAATCCATCATAAACTGGCGGAAAAAACCTCAAAACATCATTGTCAACAAACTCAAAAACACGCACGCATTGCGTGCGTTTGTCCGAAAGCAGGCTTACAAATGGACCGCGACACGAAGGGGATAGGCTTCGCCGACGTACTGGTGACGGCTTGGAAGGATGCGGCTACCAAGGAGAGGCAACCACATGCACTACTAAACTCTCAAGCTGTTAAAAAAACGCTGAACAAGCGCGGGGCCGGTATCTGCCCCACCACCTTGTACTTTAGTGATGCAGAAGATGCAGCCATTGCGCGCGATGTTTGTTTCCAGGGTGGGGATAGTTCGAAGTCAAAGACTTCTTTTAGCTAGCCATGGCGGAGTGTATGCGTTTGCTTGCTGCACGGGGCACACGCCAAGCTCGCTGATACCCTGAGACACGCACCGGCTTCGTTCAACAGCGAGCTGCAGGCGAACTGCCGGAACATCCGATGGTTTCCCACACTCTCGGGGCCTCAGCCGCACCATATTCCTATCCACAAAGTGTCCTACCGCTCAAGAAGCCAAGGGCCCGACCTGTCATTCTCCACTGGCCCTCCAAAGAAAAGGGCAGCTTTCTTTATCAGCTCGAAGTCACTTTTGTGACTATTGTGCGATCTGGGGAGTCGGGGAGTTGGACACAGTGCCAGGATGCGCCAAGCATGCCATGCACAGTCGCACTGACTGCTTGAGCATTCGAGAATCAAGCTCCCAAGGTCCCAACTTGTGCCTCTTCGTGGAGCTGTGCATCAATGCCACTCTCTGGATGATCTGTAAATCACTTGACGGCCGTGACCTGTAGCATCACTAGTAGCAGCACTGGCGGTGAATGAGTGCCTACTCATTTGATTAACACAACTACACGGGGCTACAGCAGAAACGTGCAACAGTGGACCAGTCAACGTCGGGAGTCCGCTCAGTCTGCTCCTCCAGCAAGATCGTGGGATTTCGTTTGCACAGCCTTAGAAGCTAGCACCAGCTGCTTACAGCTGTAAAAGCCTTCGAAATGCTGCGGCAGTTACACAGGAGGGCTCTCAGTCGAGTCGCATTTCGTCTTGAGGAGATGTGCTCACATCACGCCGAGGTCGACGTTTCCTTCTTCGCCAGCCCATGGCCAACGGAAGGCGCGGCTCAGACTGTGGGTGAAGAAGGGAACTTGTCCACTTTGGGCACAGGACATCCCATTTTTGCTGAACGGTGTCTACTGCAGCGACATAGCTGCACCCAAATGCGAATCTTGAGTGCTTCCACACATTCAAGCCTGCTTCGCAGCTGATGCATACACAGCCAATGGTTCATTCTGTTTTTGTCTTTTTGTGTTTTGCAAGACATGTTTGGAGTCTTTGACATGAAGCCACCGCAAACTGGTCAGGCACAAATTCTGGCAATGGAGTGAGCACCTGTTCCTTGGGTTGCGGATGGCACAGCTGTTGCCAGATCGATCCCTGTCCGCAATAACATGCGTCGAGCTTACTGTGCTCTGTTCCACAGACATAGTACTGGCGATGGCAAAGAAAGACCAAACAGGGACAATACACCACACAAAAGGACAAAGATTCCAAGCTCAAATCCCGAGAATTTACGTGGACCCTGAGGACTCATGTCGGCATGGGCGAGGGTCATCCGACGTGTGTGCATGAAGCGCTTCTTTCCGCCATCAAAGGATGATCTCACTGCCATTCCAATCGACGGTAGCTTCCTGTGCGACTTCCCAGAAAGCAAGATTGTCAACAAAACCCACTCCGAAGCTTGGTCCTTCCATTTCGTGCGGATACACCGATCGATCATGGACTCGCTTTCCTGCAAATGGGCATTTCTTTCAACTCGCGCCAGCTGCCAACACATGCCTCGAAGCCAGTCGTGAGGTGTGCAGGCAGCCGCTTGGGGATGACCTAATTAGGCTGTTTGATGACGTCTCTTTGTCGCAGGCAAAGGGCGCTTTCAGCCCGGGCCCGAAGCTGTCAGGCGGATACGCTCCGACTGGCGACCCAGCTGGTCAAAGTAGAAGAGGTCCAGTGCCTACTAGCTGCTCTACTACCCTGCTCCTACTCTCGCTCCATGGCCTTGTCAGTGTCTTGTGGGTTCACGCTGCCATCGGCAGAGAAGAGCACGGTGTAGTGGGACTGGCAGAAAGAACGCGCGCTGCTAGCGTCGCGTAGAGAGACACTAAGCCTCGGCACAGACCACCCAGATAGGGCTGCTGGGCCCTTTGTATCGCGAGCCAACCTCGTTCCAGTCGCGACGCCGACAACGGGACCCGAGCGCCCCCCCAGGCGTCGCCTCAATGCACGAGTAGGCCTCAAAAAGGGACAGGAAGCCGATGTTCGGTCGACGCCTGGAGGCGGAGCGTGCTGTACATACCTCGTCTGATCATGATCCCTGACCGTTTAGAATGCTGCAACACGCCAACCCTGCATCAAAGAGTTCGGCTTCTACGCCAATACAGCTGGTGCCCAGCTGACATCTACTGCCACAGCTTTCACTTGCTATTGACATTGAGAACTGTGGATGAGGCTCGGCCGGGGTCGTGTCAAACCACGACACACCAATCGAAGCTCAAACGTGTCGGGCTAAGCTTCAAGCGGCGCGCCCTGTAGCACCATCCAGCCGTCCTGCGAGACGTGTGCTACTGGAACAAGGGAACTGTTGTAATGCCTGCGTTGCCCCTCTGTATGGTCAAATCAAATATAATCACCAGAAGGATCTGTGCCACGCCACGATTGAAGGGACTATGGGGAATGACAAACTGGGTACTCTCTTGCAGCAACACGATGGCAACTTGACAAGCAAAGCAAAGCTTGGAACTGCACATGTCAGCATGAAGATGTATGACTGTATGACTGAAGTCCTTGGCACTGCCAAGGCGCTTTGTACCATCGAAGACATTGCTGTAGGCACGGCCGAACATCATCAAGTTCACCAGCTCCTCTCTTGAAGGGTGCAGTGGGGGCTACCGTAGGGGCCGGCTAGGGTGGCCGGCTAGGGTGTGTGTGAGTGTCCTGCGTACAGTAGCCGTGGCCGCCGATCATTGTCCCAGTCTTCGGGTCGTCGAAATCCCGCTCCCGGCAACCCTCCACAGTTCGAGTCCTGGAGGTCGAGTTTTTTCGGGGCTTCAAAGGATTCAGGATGGTGGTGTCGGTCCAGACCATCGAGAAGAGAAGGAGTGGAACTCCACAGCCGGAAGGGTTGAAGAAAATGTCTCTGTATGGCCTGACACGTCGTGCTGATCCCAGTCGATCTCTTGCAAGGAATCGCACGGCCGCCTTTGGCTGAGAAAGTATCTTAGCTGGTCGTAGGAGGTGAAGAGCGCAGGCTGCAAGCACCGCAGCTGCGACCTTCAAGTCTACCCAGCCCAGCCGCCAGAGACGCCCCTAAACCCTCATTTTCGGCAGGTCCAAGCGACACATTGAGAATGCTAGCTGATGGTGAACTGGGTACGAGAACACAAGCCTGGCAGGAAACGTTGGTTCCCCACACTCTCGCGTTCTCCACCTGTCTCTCTTGCTGTCTCTCGCCTTTTTGTTGTCGCCCACGTTTCTGAACAGCACCTCCCGAAGATGAGGTTGCGCGCCCGCGCGAGCGATGCTTTTTGCGGGGTCCGCCTCCGCGATGGCATCCATCAGCGCTTCCATGCGAAGGCTCTCGTCGACCTGAGAGAGAAAGAGAGGCGAATCCGACCGATTTTCGCCCTTTTCTGGACTATATACTGTTGCTTAATGCTTTATAGGGTTTAGGGCTTAGGGTGGAAGACCTCGAGCAGCGCGGCAGCGCTCGCAGCTCGGAAGTGTAGGGCGCAGATCAGGAAGGCCTTGAGACTCAGCAAGTCACAGATATTCTGCTCAGGTGGTGGCATGCCTTTGGTTCCTTGGTTCCAAGCCTGAACGACGGCAATGACTCCGCAGGGCCCTGTACAGCCACACCAGCACAGCACTACAAGTATACCATCTACTAGAACTCAGCTCCTCCATTCACCTGCTGCAAGCCATAGGGCTGGTAGCCTGCCTTATAAAGGGACTTCCACCACAGGCGGGCCGCGGGCCAACAGCTCAGACAAGCTCTCAGCTCTGTGCAAAGAAGAAGCCCTGCTTCCAAGCTTCAGGGAGCTCAGGCGGTCCAACCTGCCAACATCCTACTGACCCCTGCATCATCTGGGCTGCGCCGCACCGTGGCAGCGTCGCAGCTAACATGCTCGAGAACTGTGAACTACATATTCACTCTTCAGGTTGTGGCTTCAACCTTCGAGGACATCTTAGCAGTTCGCGCCGCCGACAACCCTTTGCATCGAGGGCATTGGCATATTTGGAGTGGGCACGTATGACCCACTGCCAAGGCCCCAGCCACAGACATCAGTGCTTCTGCATCGAGGCTGTTTAGCGGCTCCTCCCCACTCTGGCGCGTAATGTGCAAGTGTTCCATGACATAATAAGCTTGCGCTCCCCCATCCGCGGCGGGGCGATGCCGCCCACCTCTCCCAAGGTGACATCCTTGCCTTGGATTTCAGTACTGCCACAGCCCTATCGAGTCCCATCCTTGCTCAGTAGCACGCTTGGACCGAAGAAGCGTCGTGGCTCGTCCTCCATTTCCTATGTCCCGCCTCACTGGGCCTAAGCCGCGAATCCTTCTTGGCTTCTTGCGGATTCTTGCGATTTCGAGACTGCATGGCATGGCTGTAGGCTGTAGTTGTTGCCTCCGAGTCAAGTTCTTGAGCCAAGGTCCAGGGAGGAAATCCAAGCCCGTGGCGAAACTCTATAGACAGTGAGCATTTTTCCTCACAAAGAGAGCTTCCCTCGTCCGTGCGCCCCACCTCGTCTTGAGCCAGGTCTTCGAGAAAACTGTCTTACCGTTGCCAGACAAGCCAGGCCGGGAGTTCCAGAAGCAGGAAGCAGCCAAGGAAGCCTCTGCGAGTCTCCGACTCACCGCACGGTGCACGGGCCCCGCACACTTTTAGCCGTGTCTCCTGAACACGCACGTGGTCCAGATCGCAAGGATCGGCGCTTCCTGCGTGCAGAAAACGAGCGGAAGCGGAAAGGGGCGGAACCTTCATGGCTCGGCTCCATGCAGAGTCCTTCTATGCCCCGTGTGAGGCTCGCCTGGCGGAAACTCGACACAAGGCCCCCCCCACTCCCGAGCCACTCCCGAGCACCTGAAAGTCAAGCGCTGGCGGCCTGGGCTTTCGCTGCAAAGCCTCCCCCAGCGCCTGGAGATCAAGCGCTGACAACAAGGAAGCGAAAAATGTCCCCACTCCGGGGCCGAGCTGCCCGGACTCTGGCAACCTCGGAGCCCACGTTCTCCGGGAGCCTGCAAGGATTTTCTGAACCACGCAGGAGTGGAATGGAAAAGCGGGGCGCCTCGGCTCTTCTTCACCAACCTGAGCCGACTTAGCCTAGACAGAGAAGCCAGGGGCATACGGCGCGCCGCCCAGACCTTGTAAAGCTGGACCACAGCTTCGAGGGTGGCTTTCATCGTCGGAGTCGCGGTCGCCGGGAGTGCATCGGTCCTAAGGCGGAAGCACCAAGAAAAAGAGAGAGAGAGAGAGAGAGAGAGAGACAGAGATGAGAAGAGAGTTTGGCCTTTCCTCTCCTCGAGATCGCCTCGGTCTGCGCAGCAGTTTCCTCCCGGTGAACCGCCCTGCTTCTCTGCCTCCGGAACTGGAGGAAAAACTCGACAGCCGACTCGGAGATGCTCTGGGTCGAGGCAGAGGAGGGTCTCACGTCGCTCACACGGTGAGCGCTTCCGTATCGCCGTTCACAGCTCTTTGCAATGACTTCGTCCAGCAGCGAACTCCATCTTGCATCACGGATGCGCCAACTTGAACCGCTCTCAGACCTGGAAGACTTCTGCTCCAAGCGGCGTCGAAGCAGATTGATTTGAGAGACCAGCTTTTGTGTATCAGGCCGACAGTTAAGGCAAGCGCAGAGTTCCAGGAAGTCGAGTGTGACAAGAACGCTTTCAGGATCCATCCAAGCCAAGCACCCATGCTGCCCCATCTCCGTACTTGGCTTGGCGAAGAGAGCAGCTTTCGTAACATCTGCAAATGCTTCTTCCCCCTCGGGAGAAGGAGATTCCACCTCGCTAGTCCAGTATCCTCTCAATGGCACACTCTTTTCACATGCACGATGCAGTGCTCGAAGCGTCACGGCCTGATTGGTCGTGCCCCCAGCAGCGACATGCAGCCCGCCGAGTCGACCCTGCAGGTGCGGAACGTAGCCGTGCCAAGCGAGCCAGCGAAGGACCTTGGAGAGCGTCAAAGGCGACGCGGCGCTGTGCAGCACCTCCGAGGACTGGCTCGTCTCGGAGAAGCGGACGCGGCCTGCAAAGTGGTGTGAGATCATCAGAAAGCTCGTCCTCCTCAAACTCGCCTTCTCGCAAACCGAGAAGCTCCGGTCAGCTAGGCCCAGCCCAGGTGGGTAACCGGAGTCTCCGTCGCTAAAGATGGGGGAAAGGACGCTGCCGATCTGGGATTGCAGGATCCACTCGGCAGCCTCCCGGTTCTTCGCATTCGGCTCGGCAACCGCCTCCATCCAATCTGCACTGATCATGATGCCCAGCTCGATGCCCTCACCGTGGCCCTGCAAACTGCCCTCCTCTCGGAAGAGCTCTTGTGCAAGACGGGCATGTGCTTGAAGGACTTTGTGCACACGGAGAAAGAACTTCTCAGTTGCAGCCGCCGTCTCAGCCACGGCATGGGTGTCTCTCTCAGTGCCCCATCTGCGGCGTCGGCCGAGCTCCTGTCATGAGTCATTGAGTCATGAGCAAAGCTCTTGCGGCAGCTTTGCTGCAGTCAAGGCTCTTGCTCACTGCCGGCAGGTCGCAGCTTCACCTGCCTCGTCTCAGAAAGGTCAGAGAAGAGCGCTGCTCGAGATAAAACGTGAATCCGAGACTCTGGCGTGACCCAGAGACGAATGGAGCTGCGCAGGGTCTCCAAGTGCGACGCCGCAAGAGCGGCCTAAAACGAAGAGAGAAGAGATGCAGAGGAACTGGTCCCCAAATCCCCCAAATCCCCCGGCCCCGGGCTTGGCCTCGGGGTCCTCGCTGGCGTCCAGAGGAAGACAGGCCACCGGCTCCAGTCCGTGTCTCTTCACGGACTCCACGGCGCTCGCGAGAGCCGCTAGAGTCGCTAGAGCTCGAGGAGCGCCCTCCTCCTCCACTCCTCTGCAAGGCACACGACTGCAACCACAAAAAAGAAGAATCTGTACAGTGCCGTTTTTTCCGTGACAGCGCACCTGCACTTTTGGCAGCTGCCACTTGCATGTGCTTCAGGGAAGAATCGTGGCTGCATCAACTCGCAAACGCCACTGCCGTGTCCTTGAAGCAAAGCATCCCAGGGGATCGATAGCAAGTAGAACCTTTGAGTGGCAGCTTCATCTGCGGGGCGACGCGGGCTGGATTCTCTGGGCACATGGCCGATGGCCATAGGATTGAAGTTTCGCCTTATTCGGATGTGCGCAAAAAAAACGTCCTGTCGGCCCCGTTTTTCGGAAGTCTGAGGACAGGACCAGTTCGGCTTCCCACTTGAGCTTGGCGGCCCTGGCGGCTGCGTGCCAGGCTTTCAACAAGCGTGGCCTCGCTATGGCCAAGCTTGGCACCCAGATTGCAACCGCAACACCTGGCACAGACTGGCGACGCAGAGTGCAAAGCTACACACTACTCGGTACAAGTGTCTCAGCCTCCTCAGCCGGCAACACCCCCAGGAGGAGAGACTCCTTGAAACGAACGAAACGGCGCTCCGAACTGAAGCTGCAGGCAGCTGGGGCTCTGACAGGGCGCCAGCACGGCTGACCGCGATTAGGTCGCCATGGTGGCATCGCATCATGCACCATTCGCATGGTAGTGCGAGCCGTGCATGACTGCAATGACCGCGGCAGGAGCGGGACGTTTTGTTTTGCGCTTACTTGCGTACTTGGAATCGCAATGCCTGCCAATTGGACATGACAAGTCCGTCTTCTTCTTTGCAGTCTTCCATACATATTTGCCGGCTTTTGAACAAACGGCCATACAATAAACCCACGTGGCTTTTGCTTTCACTTATTTTTCAACGTAGAAACAACCCGAAACCCGAGTTTGAACCTCTGAGTACAGTATGTATAGAAGCGGTGCCGCTCAAACCTGTGAAGAACTTTCTAGCTGACTAGCCTCACTATGTCAAGTAGTGGTAAAACAGCAAGGATTCCAAGTAGAGCTAATGCACCGAAAGCAAGGCGCAGCAGGCTCCGAGTCTTTGCGTCACGAGAATGGATTGTCGTCCCGTGCCTCGGCCGGGGCTCAGACTCAAGGCAAATACTGGGAGATGAGATGGAGAGAGCAAGATTGGAACTCGCGCCAGCATCGACCACCAGGACCAGTACCTAGACCACCGACGACAACGACTACGATCTGCGACAAGGACGACCATGACCACCACAGAGACCACGCGCCGAGCGACCACCAGAAGACCCGACAAGAGCCCGGACACGACCAGAAACCCTGGAGACCACCCAAACGCCACCATTGAAGCAACTTGGATGACATGATGAAGATTCTGTCCCTTCTTCGGCACCGGCGTATGTGATTTATGGGCGGGGTCCTGAAGTTCTTCCAATTGATTCTTCCAAGTAACACGCAAAACTGTCGTAGTTGCAACATCCAAGGCAGCAGCGACATGCACTCTTCTCAGCGTGAGAGAAGGGACGGCCATGTTGAAGACAGATCACTAAGCAGGCTTCACCGACATGGCTGGGTCGTTTCTGCTCTCACGAGATCAAGATCAAGCGTGGCGAGGGATGCGCATGGGTGTTGGTAGAAGCGCTTGTGCATCGGGCACGGGAGTTCGTTGCTTGTCTCATTGGATCAGCTTCCTTCGCGCGCCAGCCCTTTTCTGACCTTGTCAGCAAGCCATGAATGGTCTAGGAATACACACTTTTGGACTTTCCATCACTTCCATCCTGCTTGGCCGAAGGGGATTCGCCCTTGCCTCCGCAGCAACTATTTGTTCGGCATACAAAGGCGCTACTCTGCTGTAGCAGCTTCAATGTTATCTGCATACGGTCTTTGCCAAGCCTCCATGTCCAGTTCATCCTAGACTCCTAGACTTTGTCTCAGGATCCACAACCTTCCTTTTGCCACCCCAAACTCTGAAGTTGTCTGGGACCTGGGAGCGTCGCTCTCACATCTTCCCTAATGTTGTGACATCGGCAGACCGGCAACTCATCGGAAAAGAAGGATGAGTGACCAAGTAATTTTCCGGAGAAAACGATTCAAAACGCGAATAGCTGAGAACACAAACAAGCAAACGGCAGAAGCTACCTCGGAGAAAGGAGAGCGGAACATCGCTCCAACACGGCCGGGGCCCTGGGCCGCGCAGCGCTCAGACACGCCCTCTCACACACACTCAGACGCAGACAGTCACATGCCAAAACTACACCGAGGAGGACAGAAGAAGTTACGTTCACAGAAGCAGAACGCCCATCGATCACAAGCTTACCAGCGCGAAAGCAACTTAGGAGATATCCAAACGTCAAAAACACGGAGTACCCGGAAAGAACCAGTCCAGGAGTGTGTCTACTTGCTGCTTTGTACGGAAACTTACGCTTCCTGGTGTGTTCTTTGTGCCAGCATTTGTTCGGTGGTTGTTTCGTTTTTGTTGTTGTGTTGACCAACGCCGTTTCTTGCCATGTGTTGCTGCTTCTGTTGTTTCGAGTTGCCGGTTTAATGTCTGTCTGCATCGCCAATAAGCTACAGGAAATAAAATTTCTTTACCCTCAGAACATTCGCACTTCCGGGAGCCGCTTGTCTTTGTCCTCGGGTCAAACTTCTGCCTACACTAGGTCGCTATGGCTTTCCGTGGACAGGTCCGGCAGGTCCAGTCCTTCCTAGCCCACGTTTCATCTGTGCGGATGAGACGTCTCGTCCCACGCTAATTCGCCTGACTCATAGCACATACTGTCCTGGCATCACTGTTTCCGCGGAATGCTGCATGACGTACGATACTTCTTCCATCTTCTTCAGCTTCTGCTTCTTCCTCTCCATACATGCCTCATTCGCGTGCCATTCACTCTCGCCAACGTTGCCATATCGATAGCAGTATCGTCGCCCTTCCGCTCTCGAAGCTGGTGCTTCTCCGTTGCTATGCTTCTCCTCGACTTTTCGCTTAGTGAAGTCTAGATCGTTGCTTGCCGGTTTTTTTGTGCACACTTACTGGTCAGACCTACTAGACTATCCACGCTCATTCCCACCGCTACTGCCCAAACTTGTTTATGGTCTGGTCGCTTACGAGGGACGGAGATAAACAACAAAGGGTTGCTGTGGCCGACGCCGTCCAGCGCTTCCAAACAGGTTGTCGCAATCCTGGGACAAACTTCAGCGCGGAGACTTTGCAGCCGTGTTTTCTTACTCTAGAGACTCTAGAGACTCTAGAGGCTGAATCTGAAGCGGGCCTTGGGAAGAAGCCGGGACGGAGGATGCAGCGTCGAGCGACAAAGGCCCGCCGCTCGCATCCTGAGCCAGCAAAAAAATAGACTCTGCCTCTGCTCTCTCTGCGCTCTCTCTGCTCTGTCTGCAACAATTCCGGGCATCCCGCAGCGGGCTTTTCGCCGCGGGAACGCGCTGAAGGACCGACACTGGCTTTCGCCATAGAGCCGCCCAAGCGGAAGTTCTCGGCCTGAGCTACGTCGATGTGAGTCGCGTTGGTCTCTTTTGGGAGGGCACACTGAGACGCCGCCTCGGCACCTTCAAGCTGATGCCTGGCTCAGGGCTGAGGGCCAGGGCTGGGTCTCATGTCAACTCGCCGTTAGTCACCGTTAGTATGTATGTGGAGCGTATGTAAGCGAGCTGAAAAAGGATTCTGACTACATGATTTCCGCAAGACAGCCTTAGTCGCATGCGCTTCGGTCTCTGGATCTGCTTTGATCTACATCAACTATACAACAAGGATCTGCTTTACTGCCAAGACTTTTGCTATGTTTCGCGGTGGCTGCCTAATGCTCATGGGCTCATGGGGCTATGTAAGTTCCTATCTTTGTTTCGCCAGCTCGCTCTCTCTCTCTCTCTCTTCTTCCGCCGGGTCTAAGGGGCGAGTCAGGCCCCTCGGCCCATTGGGCCCCCCAAGGTTTTTGATGGGGCTTTCGGGGGAACAGTACACGTACCAGGGGAGACTCCACGGACCATGATACAACCCACTCACTCTCTCTCTCTCTCTCTCTCTCATCCTGAAACAATCTGGTTCGGAGTCAGTCGAAGACTTGGTGGCCACCTCTGCATCACACAATTCCTCAAATACCCATCTGCAAGCATGAGGTGAAAGGCCATACGTGGCTGAAGGCGCCAAGGCATGAGGGGCGCATCAAGCCGCCCGGCCACCGGGACCTCCCCTGTTTCTGGGGCTTTGAAAGAAAACGAAGCTCCTGTCTGTGTTGATTATCCCCGAACCACATGGTTCAAGCCCCCTCGGCATCTCTCTCTCTCTCTCCATCTTTCGCTCTGGCTCGCCTTCCTCGCACCAAAAACTTTCCCTCTCTCCCTGTCCCTCCCCTCCCGGCTCTCAAGCTACAGCACGTCGGCATATAGGATAAGCGGTGACAAGGCGACGCCAGCTGCGCACTTTCGCGCCGCGCATTCAGACGGACCTCGACATCCAAGCAAAGCTCAGAGAGAGAAGGAGAGGACAGTACACTGTTACACATTGCTTCAGCTTTGCATGGCCTCATCCGCTTCTGCCAGCAGCTCTGCCAGCTCCACTTTGGCAGCCTCGGAAGCTCTGAAGCGGAGGCCCGGCAAGGCCGGGCGGTGCCCTCCGTGAGGTTTCGGCTTTCAGAGCTTCGATCTCGGGGCCGTCGCGCGCCCAGGCCCAGGACTGCCAGGAAGTGCCCCAAGAGCCCCCAAGTGCCCCCAAGTGCCGCTCCTCAGGCCCCTGCACCGCTTAAGGCAGCGCTTCTGGCTGGTGCTTCTGCCTCGGCCTGGCGTGCCGTGAAGCATCGAAACACCCCCACGAGAGGTGAGTTAGTTACTAAGTTGGCTTCTATCGCAGTCTTTCGATCGCTGGAAAGCTGCCCGCCTGTGCAGCTCGAAGCTGCCTCAACTCCGACTCGGCAGCGCTTCGCAACCTGCCCGTGAGGCGTCGCCACGGGCGGTCCCTCAATGATGACTCGCGTGCCTTGAGAGAGCCCGGTGGGCTTCCTGGAGGGCCTCGAAGCTGCGCCTCTGCACCGCAGAGTTGGCGCAGGACAAGGGACCCACTCCCCAGCTGGGACCCGAACTCCGCACCCTGCAGCCTTCGCTCTGCAGAAACTCGCGGGGTGTCGCTTGGCAAAGCGATGCAACTGCTGTCGGCCTGCCAGCAGCTCGCTGCCGCTCTTCCAGAACCTTCCACAGAGCCCGAAGCACGTGCATGGCGAAACCGAATTTCGGTTTCACCATGATACAGACCTGCCTCTTGCACAGCGCATCGGCTGTCCATGCTGACAGTGCCAAAGCTCGCTTTCTTCTTTACAGACACTCGATCGCCGAACACCAGACCCCAATCCGGGCGGAGGCACAGCTCCGATCTCAGCTTTCGCAGTGCTTCGTCCTGCCGGGAAAAACAAAACAAAAACAAGACGGTCCTCTGGTTTTACCGGCGTCTTTGCGGTCAATTATACCGGCCTGCGAGCTCAGGGCTCCGCTACGACCCTTTCGGAGCTCTTCGTGAAGCTGTAGATCCTCAAACCAGCCCCCGAGCTCAGCCATTTTCACCATGGCAGAAAAGAAGCCCTGCTCCTGCTGAAGCCGGTTGACCTGCGTCTCTCAGCGGCCGGTGAGTGAGTCATGTGATAGCTAGCGGCTCTGCGAACCATCTACGTCACACGCGCACGAGGCGCCGCATTTCTAGTGCTCCTGTAAATTGGTTTGGTGTGCTTGTGGCTTTCGAACTCGAGGTCCCAGAATGTCCATGTTGAAGCACATGAGTGCGAGACTGCGCTGTCCGACTTCAAGATTCCGCAAAGGTTGAGGAAGCTCTGTCTGGGGGAAGGGTTTAAGAGTCGGGGTTTAGGAAGGCTGTGCAACACCTCGTGACATGCACATGACCTGGGCAACATTGGCATGTCAGAGCTTCAGGATAAAGAGTAGACCGAAAGCAAAGAATCCTGATTGAAAAAAGTCACCCACGAGTGATCTAAGTCTCGGAAAGCAAAGCCAGCAAACTTCGCCAGCTCTAGAGCCCAACGAACATGACATCGTCGGCGCAATAGCAGGGTTCAGTAACGTGAGGTGTGAATGGGTTCCGTGACGCAGGAAGTTGCCCTAGTCCTGTGGGAGTATTATTATTCGAGGTGGTTAACAGCCCGTCTGGACTTAATGGCTCGCGACATCAGAATTCGGAAGCCTTCTGCGAAGCCACACAAGGGCATATATTCAGTTTCAAGGTAGGTATTCTTGTCTACGTGTAACTTGCACTTTTTGTATATTCGATTGTACATGCAGACTTATGGGTGTACATAATAATACTTTGTACATGTATATGCACATGTAGCAAAAGGTAGATAAGTAGGGGGATTCGGTAGACTTGCAGATAGGTAGACAGAGGGACAAATGGATCGATGGGCAAATGGATGTGGTTGGGTTAGGTCCCGAGTCCGCGTCGCGTGGGGTGCCACGGCTTGTGCACTGCCTTGAAGTGTTCTGTTGGGCCGCACCTCCTGCCAGAGATCAGCAATGCCAGGTGCAGGGAGCCGACCGAGAGGTGTCTGCGCGAACTCGCTGGCGCGGGTTGCTTCCTGTGGTCGCCAAGCAACGACAGATGGCCAAAGGAGCTCAGCGCTCAGGGTCTCGCCAGGCAAGACTCTGTCGAAAGGTCGTCTGGGCCTGGAAGGATTGCAAGACGAGGAAGAGCACCGAGGGAGCAGTGTCCGCCTCGACCAGCAGCCTCTTCTACCAGCTTCACGGCCGCCGAGCCCAACTCTCCTGCCGGGGGGGCCGAGCACGAAGGGGTTCGGGCCCTTCCGGCCACCCCAAAAGCTCCTCCGATTCGAGAGGCCTCGGAACTCAAGGGGGGGAAAAGGGGTCGCCTCAGCTCAGCCGCTTTAGCCATCCGCCTCCGTCAGCAGATGTCGATGCTGCTCGACGGCATGTCGAGCACTACTCACAGCCTGGCGAGAACGTGATCAACCTCTCTCGCGTCCCTCTTCTGGCTGGGGGCATTATGTTCAAGAGTCTTCCGGCTCTCCTCCTTGCTCAGAACTCCTTCACCCCTCTTTCCATCTGCACTCAGGCTCTATAAGTTATAAGGCCAAAAGGTTGAATGCAAACGCCTCTCTGCTCCCGGTGCTTCCTCATGCAGCCACGGCGATCGCCACTGAGCTTGACGCTTCCAGGAAGTTTCCATCAAAGTGCCGCCGCTCAATCTGATCACCCCACTCCTTGCGGGCCACGTGAAGTGGCAGTCTGCGATGCTGCACACTGCTCTCATCGGTGCAGCCATGCCGCGCTCAAAGCTTTGAAAGTGCCCTTCAGAGACAGCCTGCAGAAGGGCCCAAGCTGTTAAATCGGAATTCAATGCGGCCAGCACAGCAGTCATGACGGCCTCCAAGGTAAGCCGCCTCCGCAAAAGCATCGCAGCTCACACCAGCACTGCACAAGCTGCCAAGCGTGCCTTGGCTTTGGTCTGGCACTGGCACAGAGGCTGAGCCGGCCTTTTGCCAGGGACAGCGGATCTCAAGGAAAATGCACGACCAAACAAAACAGCGCCTCGCCCTGGAGCTCGGACATCGAAAGGCGTCTCAGGCGATGAAGGCATCGATCAGCGGCGCTCACAGCCCAGAGCTTTCACGCAAGATGCTTTTGACTAAGTGCAACGATCTGGCATGAAGGCCATGCACATCATAGGACATGCGAGTATCCTATCATATCAGATCACGTCAGATCATGCCAATACATCCTCGATATGGGTGGAACATACATAAATACATAAATTAATGAATTCACGAATATGTATATATATATGTACATATGTATATAGATATGTATACAGATATGTGTGTGTATATATATATGTGTGTGTGAGTATGTATGTATGTGTATGTATGTATGTATGTATGTATGTATGTCTGTATGTATGTATATATATATATGTATGTATGGGCTCATGCATGAGTTGTGGCGGTATGGGCAGTAAATCTGACATTTCGTCTGTGATTGTGTGCACTTGCTCGCATAGTCTAACATGTCGAACCTGAAGTTGGAGGGCTACACTCCCAGCACCTTGGCAGGAGGGACAGTCTGAGAATAACGAAGGAAGACATGATCTACACGCTGAAGCCTAAACCGCCTTCAAACGATGTGCTGGAGGCCTCGGGCGTGGCATGACGTGACACTGACGTTAGGCATCCAATTTTGCTAGGCAAGCGGCAAACGCAAGGCAGTCACGACATGCTCCTTAAGTTCTTTCGCGCCGAAAGCTCAACATTGGTCCTTGAGTCCTTGATGGATCTGCATCAATGCAAAAAAACCGGTAAAACCCAGTGGGAAAAACCCGGCGTGAAACCAAGTGCTGCTTGGAAAAGGGCCGCGAACATGTGAAGATCGCCAAAGCCACATCGTGCAGGGACATGCCTCAGACTACTAGTCATTGTCCATGTAGCGGCCAGAAGAGACTGGCTACGAACTCGAAGAGCCCTAATCCAAGCAGCACTCCGAACAGGAAAGCTCTTTAAGAGGCGAAAAACCTGCCCGATCTTGCAAAACGAAGCTCGTGCAACTCGACCCTTCCGCCATCACTGCCTGCGTTCAGTAGGGATCATGTATGCGTCCCTAAGATTACAGTTTTTCTTTTGCATGCCCAGATACAGCAGTTCCTGGATATGCAAATTTACGGGAAGGTAAGACAGCTGAAAAAGGTGCACAGGAAAACGCATGAACCATACATGATACGGTGTTATTATTTGCCTCTGAGTTACCTTCTCAGTCATGCCTGCTTGATATCCGGGCCTGACCTTGGTTTCATCTTGGATGTTGAATCTCTTGTCTATCTGTGGTTGCTGGGTGAGCTGAGCAGGAATGTCATAGAAATCATTAGGTGTCTACAATACAACAGGGAACTACAGCAGTGCTGGCAGATGGTGGACTTGTGAGCTGACCAAGCTGTCAGCCACGAGCTGGCGTGGCAAAGGCCAGTGCGCCCTTCCGTGCACTGGGAAAATTGTCTCCAAGACGGCACATGCGCCACGCGACTCAGGATGCTAAGCAACAGGTCGCGATATATGAACATTTCCTAGACGGAGGGAGGGGGTCCACAGAAGCGGCGACCCGCGCTCTGTGACTAGAGTTCGTCACAGCCGGATGCGGCCTTCTCGGAAAATTAGTTGCGGGCATCGGAAAATCCACATCACAGCCAGTTCCCGGCTTGAGCCACCTGAGGGAGTCGGGAGGCTTGGAGGGATCTCTTGGTCTTTCTTCACATGATAGGGTTTAGGGTTTAGGTTTTAGGGTTTAAGGGTTTAGGGACCCAACTGGAAAAGTATTAGGTCCAGGGTTGGGGCGCTTGGGCAGCGACTCCAGCTTTCTAAGGTTCGGGCCAAGGCGCCTTCTACTCCGTGTCCATGATGCCTCGGTGCAAGAGCGGTCTGACCTGGATCCTGAAAACGAATCTGCCTACCAGAAGAAAGTCTGCAAGGCCATTTCTGAAAACAAGGAATTGCAGCCAGCACACCTGGGCACTTGCATGGTAGAAATCCGCTCACATGGAAATCGAAAAGTCAAGAACAAGTCCAGAAACCCTCGAAGCTGGAATTCTCCACGCCTCGACGCGGTTTTTGCTGCGTGCTCGGGCGAGGCAGCTCGCTGCCTGAACAGCCCGAAGAGCTGTCAAAAAAGGCAGCTGAGAATGGAACTGGCTCAGAGTTGCCGCGGAAACTTCATACCCCATTTTCGCCTAAAACCTCCTGAGCCATGAAACCCACAATCGCTCCCGTTGCCTCGTGCAAGGGGCACAGGCCTCGCTTCCTCCTGGCAACAGTTCATGGCTTTGGGGTTGGTGGTTTTGGGACCCGAGTTTGGTGGCGTTTAAAGGAGATCAAACGTGAGAGCATTTGGCCCCATGGAGGTATCTGCCACAATGCCCTTTCTAGCGGGATGGTGGTTTACGGCTGGGACATTGCTGTATCTTGCGTCGATGGGCTGACCGTGGTAGATCAGGGGTTAGGTAAGTTTGGCCTAGGGGCAGCAGCTTGGCTAGCGGCTACAGCTCCTTGTTTTCACGGATAAACGTGTGAGCATCTGGACTGGGCAGCCTCGCAATTAACGAGATGTCGACAGCACTATGCCAGGAGTTTAGCCCGGCCCTCTGTGCAGGTTGTCACCCTAGCATAGCTGCTCTACCTCTTTTCCCACCCTTTAGCAGGCAGATATCATAACCGTTAGATTTTATTTTGCAATTTCTCATTTAAATATGTGATGTAATAATATGAGTGAAGGTATGCTTAAAAAATCGTCTAAAGCAGGAAAGAAGTATGACGCTGTCATTGGTGGTAACAAGACTGTTTCATGTGGTGCTACAAGGTATGGTGATTTTGCGAAGCACAAAGATGAAGAACGAAGCGAAGATATACAGCAAGACACGGTGCTACACAAACATTTAAAGACATAGAAAAACCGCAGACGTGGGCGAGATAGATTTTATGGGAATCGAAAACAATACCGGAAGCAGCTAAGAATATTCAGAAGAAGTTTAATATGGATATAAAAATAAAGAAATAATGAAGCCTAAACAAATATTTATACTATTGAAGAATTATACATCTTTGGTAAAGCGTGTGAGGTGGAAAAGCCCCAGAAAACAGAAGACACGAGATTACGACTACGAATTATGAAAACAATTGAGAGGGAGATTGATGATAATGATGAAAGGGGGATGACAAACTACTTAAACGCAATGTGGTGAGGAAAACGAATGAGACCACGATGTTGATGATGAAGGAAATGAAAGAAAAGGATGGAACGAAAGACGTGGCAAGCAGTGATAGAACGGAGAAGGTGAAGATAATGATGAAAACGATGCAGGGGGGAAAGGTGAGAGAACAGACAAAGGATACAGACCCTGCCCCAGAACACACCCTGACACAAGAGCCCAGCCACACCTCAGAACCACCTTTTACCATTTTTTTGTTTGAGGGGGGCTTCCTTGTACAGCCGCACCTCTTGCAACCCTTGACCCCATCGTAGCCCCAAATCCAAAAGCTGATCTTACTCAGCGCAAGGGCCCCTCCAGAGCTGAGTGCCTGATGTACTGACTATGCATGTCCTGCTCAACTCCAAGAGAGTAGCAATGGTAGCAACAAAGAACATATATTGGTTTTTTCGCAGTTGGACGAGCACTTGATCACCTGCCTCGGTCTCGCCACCTCGCAGCCATTGTCTCTGGACGCCTTTGGCGCCGTATGCGGGGCTACCAGTCTCTTTTGCAGGAACCCATGAACCTTTGCCCTCCGATGGGTTTTGAGCCCTGCAACCCCTAGAGGATCCTGACTGATTCCAAGTCGGAGCACTTTCCTTCAGCTCAGGTCTGCAGCAAAGTGCCAGCGATGTGAAGGAGCCTGTCGCCGACAAGCGCGTCTTTTTGGCAAGGTTTTGGGCAATTCCGGCGTTCCATTCCGAAAGATCCCCGCCCCCACGGCCTAGTGCAAGAGCGGTCAGGGTAGGCATGAGGACGCCGTCCTGTTGCAGTGCAAAAAGGCTCATGTGTCCATAATACTGCTTACTACTTCAAACTGGATGAAATCAGTTTTGGGGGCTCTGCTTTGGGTAGTGCAGAACGATTCTAATCTGCTCAACTCCCAACTTGCCAAAGCCCTCGGATGCCCTGACCCGACTCCCCAAAAAAGCCCTACAGGTCGACCTCTCCAGCACACGTCACACAGGGTCCTTGACGAGGCTGCTACCTGTCGCTTGAAGCCTCGGTTCTTCAGTAAGCCGAATTCCTATCTCGGTGATTTTTTGACAAGGGCATGTTGATATCAGCCTGGTAACCAATTCGTTGCATCCTTGGGCTGGACATTGGCCAGGAACAGCATGATGTAGCAGATACAGGTGGCCCCGTAGCACGACGATGCAGCCTTACTCTGGGAGCAACCGCGATGGAAGGGAGTGCCCAAGTCACCGAAGCGCAGCGCAGGTTTTAACAGGGTCTAAGCTTCAGTTTTTGGGTTGGATTGGGGGGGGGGTTCAGATTTACAGCTGGTCTTAGGCATCAGATCTGCGACGTGAGGCCCAGTAAAGCATCCGCTTGCGCCGCAAGCGGGTCGTCTTATCTTTCGCTGCCTGTTGGGAGGCCAAGCTGTGAAAACCCTCCAAGGCCCTAAGAATTTGTGGACCTCACTGTCGAAGGATGGATTCGACTTTTGCACTCCAAACACATCTCACCAAAACACTTCAGGTCCTGGAAAGAGTTTAGGGTTCGAACCGTTTTTTTTTGCGGCTTGGGAAGATCGGACCTCGTTGGGCTTGGAGCTCGGCTTCTGGATGAGCAGCAGGACAAAGAGGACAAGGTCCCCAAAGACCTTGCGTCAAAGCGGGGGAAATTTTCTCCGACAAAACTCATTGCCAAAGATCAAATGTTTGGCCTTCAACTCTTTCCGAAATTCCGTTTCCAAGGAACTGCGGAAAGCAGGCCCACCCAAAACTTCCGCGCAAGGCCCTGCTCCATGCTCAACTCGTCCGTGTTGCAGCCTTCAGAAGGGGCTTCAACGCTCGCACACACAGGGCTGGTGGTGGAA